AATTACTTAGAGTTTCCTACTTACCATCATTAACAAAATGTTATTTTGAATTTGGTCAAGTGAAATCTAGTTCCACTGAAGCAAGAAAACTTTTCCATTCTGAATGCTTACTTAGAGAATTACTTTAAATTTGATGTTGATGTGGGAGACATTTTGACCTACTCAGGTGAGTGTTAGTTTCAGCCCAACGTCCTATTCTGGTTGCCTTGCTGTGCTTTTATCCCTTTGTCTTACTGTTTTTTTATTACTGGTTACTCGCCATAGGTTTCCAATTCTGATGGTTCCTCCTGCCTCTATCTGGGACCTTGTACTCTATGGCTTTGAGGTCATTTAGTTTATACAAGCCACTGTTACTGAGACCAAGTGAAGCCCTTCTAAAGAATGGTGTGATGGTTAAGGCAGCTGGGTTTATACATGGCTGACCGTGGTTCAAGTCCAGAACTTGGTGACTTGAAAATCATGCCGAGCATGTGTGAGTGTGTGCCCAAGATCCCAAGAGGATGGTGGAGGAAATGGAACTGTTGTCTGGCCATCCCTCCTTGGGGTGATTTCTTACTTCTCTCTCTGTATATCTCTTCTCTGGCAAGCACATGCTCCCTATAGCAAAAACCTAAAAAATAAAGGGTCACAGAAGGGCCATGATGTGAAGCAGTTACTCCAAGTGGATGGAAGTGAGGTGAGCTTTCTGGGATCAAATGGCCTACTTCATATCACGGCCCTTCACTGACGAGCTATGTGACCCTGAGAAAATTCTTAACCTCTTGTTAGTTTCATCATCTGTCTAAATTGGGATAATGGTGTCTCCCTCTTAAGGTGGCTTGCAGAATTAAGGGACTTAACCAAGATAAAGCACTTAGCCCAGTGTTTGACACAGGATGAAGGCTCAGTAAATTCAATTGTATTGCAAAAAATTACCTTGTCGTTATTATTAGAAGAGAAAGAGATACCATTAGGACCTTGGAAAAATTGCTTTACCCACTTGGACTTTTTTTTTTTTTCCTTCTTTCATCTTTAAAATGAAGATACTGAAGAGGAGTACTGCCTTGTGGACAATTGAGAGACCCTTTTTAGGTCTGATTCGAAGTACACCTAAATCCCTCCCCCCTTTTTTTTAAACCTGTATCTCCTCCAACGCTAGAAGCCTCTTGATCCTTTCTCATCACTCAGGCCTTCCTGTGCTCATCAAAGGGACTTGTCCAGACTTGTTGTATTCCATATGTTCTGGATGACAGCTCGCTGCTGAAGCACTTTCATGCAAGTGTGCTCTCAATAGCTGATGGTGATAGGTTTAGTGTCATGGTTTAATATGCTACTCTCTAGATTGTATTTTCATAAAGTAGAAGACTCTATGCTGAGTTTTTAAAAAATACATATTTCTCAAATTTTCCTCCAAAGCCTGAGGTTTTGGGGAAAATGTCCCTACTCAAACTTCCCACTCCAGCTCTGATCACAATATGTCTTTGAATTATTATTATTCATTTGAATAATTTATTTGCCTTCATAATATAGCCATATTTGTTTTAATAGTAACATGTTTATATTGCACATCAGTTCTTATTTAACTCCCCACCTGCTTAAGCTTCCGGGAAAACTGCTCCAGGCCATGTGCCGTATTTATCTGTTGGCTTTGCATACCTCATGTGACCCAATTTAGAGCAGCAGGGTAATCTAAAGGAGTGTTTCTGAAGATGGGATTTACTGGCACCTGGCAAGTTTGTGAGGGAAGCACTTTTGACTGTGTTCATATAACCTCAGAAAACTTGCTAGTGTGATGTTGAAGAGAGATTTTAATTGGTATAAATTGAAAACATAGTCACCACTTTCTAACAACTTTTGAAAGGTTAATGGAATAGCCCTTTTTCCTTAGGCCATGTATATAAATTTGAAAGTTCGAAAACACCCCCAAATTACTATAAATTTACCTTTTATTCCTTTTGGAGATGTGGAAGTCTGGAGTTGAGGAAACCTACATTCTTCTTTTAAAAGCAGGGCATTTCTCAGATTATCTTCTGACCTCTCTTGGCAGTTGCAGGGTGTTGAGGTAAAAGGATAGCTAGGTGACTTGAAACTGGTTAGCAGTGTGGCCTGCAGCAAGTCATTTCTCTAAGTCTGGCTTTCTTTACATAAAGAGGTTTCATAAATGACCAGCCAGGTGGCATTGTGGTTAAGGGAACTGGATCCCACCTAGCCAACGGTGTGGTTCAAGTCCCAAACCCAGCAGCTTGGAAAACATGCCAGACGTTTGTGCATGCATGCCTAAAATCCTGAAAGGAAAATGGAGAAGGGATTATGGCATGACCATCTTCCCTGGGGGATGCTTTTTTACTTTCTCTCTCTCTTCCTCTGTTGCTCTCCAGCCAGCACATGTGGCCTATAGCAAATATTTCACTAAGGTTTTATGGTTTTGATTCTTTCTTTCTTTTGATTTCTTTCTTTGTTTCTTTGTTTCTTTCTTTCTTTCTCTCTCTCTCTCTCTCTCTCTCTCTCTCTCTCTCTCTCTCTCTCTCTCTCTCTCTCTCTCTCTCTCTCTCTCTCTCTCTCTCTCTCTCTCTCTCTCTCTCTCTCTCTCTCTCTCTCTCTCTCTCTCTCTCTCTCTCTCTCTCTCTCTCTCTCTCTCTCTCTCTCTCTCTCTCTCTCTCTCTCTCTCTCTCTCTCTCTCTCTCTCTCTCTCTCTCTCTCTCTCTCTCTCTCTCTCTCTCTCTCTCTCTCTCTCTCTCTCTCTCTCTCTCTCTCTCTCTCTCTCTCTCTCTCTCTCTCTCTCTCTCTCTCTCTCTCTCTCTCTCTCTCTCTCTCTCTCTCTCTCTCTCTCTCTCTCTCTCTCTCTCTCTCTCTCTCTCTCTCTCTCTCTCTCTCTCTCTCTCTCTCTCTCTCTTCCTTCCTTCCTTCCTCCCTCCCTCCCTCCCTACCTCCCTCCTTACCTCCCTCTTTTCTTTCTTTCTTTCTTTCTTTCTTTCTTTCTTTCTTTCTTTCTTTCTTTCTTTCTCTCTTTCTTTCTTTCTCTCTTTCTTTTTCACTTTTTTTAATTTCCAGAGTACATGTGAACTCACTAGAGAGAGAGAGAAAGAGAGAGAGAAAGAGAGAAAAGGAGAAAGCACTCATCATTGGGGCATGGTCACGCTGCAATCTCATCTCTCTTTTTCCCTCCCATCAGGATCTGGGCATGTGCACACATGTACCTGGATCATCTTTCAAGCCACTGGGGCCAGGATTCGAATCATGATAGGCTAGTAAGATCTGGTTTCCCTTAATCATTAGGCTATAGGACCAGCCCTATTTTTGCTAATTTCTAAATGAGATGAGATTCACGGCTATGTGTTCCCCCAGCAGGCAGTACTTTCCTGTTGGTACTACTTGTGACATTTTCCATGATTTTTTTGTTGCCTGTATTTTCTCTAGCATTATCATCATAATAGGCCGTGGGTGTCTTCCTTACAACTATAGTTGTGATTGCCTTCTATGCTACCTGACAACTGGTATTCTTTCATCTACTTACTTCAAGAATATCTTTTCAATGCCTACTAAATGGCAGTTGTAGTTTTGGGCAGTTGAGTTATAACAAGAATCTGGCAGGCAAGGTTCCTATATACTTATGGCATGAAAGAGAAATTCAGTCTTTAACTTCTTTTAATTTTGATTGTAGCAGTCACTCCTCCACAGTTTTCCATTCCATGGTTTCAGTTACCTGTGGTCAACTGCAGTCTAAAAATTCTAAATGGAAATCTCCAGAAATAGTACGTTTTAAATTGCATATTATTATGAGTAGTGTGATGGAATCTTTCACTGTCCCATTCCGTCCCACCTAGGATGTGCATCACACCATTGTCTATGCTGCTTACTCTACCCACCATTTGCCACATAGTAGGAATCTTGGTTATTATGTCAGTGGATCCCAAGAAGATGAGTACAGTACAGTGAGGTGTTTTGAGAGCGAGAAGAGAGGTCTCATCTGCAGAACTTTTCTCATAGTATTGTGAAAGGCCGCATATTAGGTCTTACAGATGAACAGCTGTTTGTCCATTTTGTTCTCTTACCCTAACATGGCTGGCTGTTTCTGTAAACCTGTTTGTTCTTCCCATGGGAAAATAGTTTGTGGTAGCCATACAAAAAACCACATCTGAGACGACATCCTCTACCTATATCTTTGTTAACTAGTCCAAAACCCTTTTGTTTAGTAATGTAACTGTTTGTATGGAAACCCCATGCCCCTCAGAAATAATTAACCTGTTTGATTTAGCTTTTCTAACTACTACTTACATAGAAACCCCTGGTAACTGACCTCCTATAAAAAGACTACTCACACTTCGGTCAAGGCTACCGTTCAGACTCTGGGCCCCTGAGCCTCAGGCTGTAGTCGCTGGCCAGCTAATAAAAACTCCCTTTCAACTTAATCTGGCTATAGTGGTCATTCATTCAGTGACACTCTACAACAGTATATTGTTATAATTGTTCTATTTTATTATTGTTGTTGTTAATTTATTACTGTGCCTAATTTATCAAGTCAACTTTATCATATGTATAGGGAAAATTAGCCCAGTATATGAAGGGCTCAGAACTATTTACAGTTTCAGGCATCCATTGTGGATCTTGGAATGAGTCTTCCATGGGGGGGCTATTGTAATTTAAATCACCACATACATCCAGTGGTTCCCATATTGGCAATCTCATTCTGGATGGTTAAGGGGCTAGAGAAAGAGATAAAGCCTTAGATAACAGAATAAACAAAATAATTTCACATAGTGATAAGAATTGAGAAGAAATAAAACTAGGTGACAAAATACTAACTAGGGAAGTACTTTAGGCAGGGTGATTCTAGTTCAGCCAACATTAATAAACAAATAATGAGTTATACTTTTTAAAACTTTTCTACTTAGTACTTTGGTTTGGGAACCCTTATTTGCTCATCTAGACTTTTCCTTTCTGGATAACAAACCCCTAATCTCAAAATAAACCTTCATGTTCCTATCATTTTAGTAACTACACACATTTTGTTTCTTCCCTAGCTCTGAATTGTCGTCCTCTGTTCCTGTTGGTACTTCAACATTGGGAGGTATGCTTTTGTGCCTTTATCCATTGCTCTTTCTTTTTTCCCCCAAATGATAGTGAGTGTAAGTGCGTGTGTGCATAAGACAATAAGAGAGAGAGAGAGTGTAAGGGAGGGAGGGAGAGAAGCCTCCTTGATGGGGCCTTATTACTCTGTGATCTGCTTTCCCCAGCCCTCCAGATCCTTAAGATCTTGGGTGCTGGTGCATTCGTGCAACTGGTACATTTCTAGGCCAGTCCTAGGATGCAAACTGGTGGCTGGCTATGTGATGTCCAGCATTGCTATCCAGTTGCTATGGACTGTGCCACCTAGACTGAACCACTTTCCTTGTTAAATTAGCTATGACTTTAAGACAGTTTGCAAGCACATATGTTCTTTTTTCAGTTCACATTTAAAAATTATCAGGTTTTTCTCTCTTTACAAGAGTTTCAAGAAGAAATAATTATTATTTTCACTTACATAATAGCATGATGTAAGTATAGTTAAAAATCTTCTAACTGTTAAGCCAGCCAGTGGTGTGGTGATTAAATTGACTAAATCCCATCTTGCTGACTGCACAGTTCAAGTCCCCAGACCTGGAGGCTTGAAAAGCACACCAGGCACATGTACATGTGAGCCTAAAACCCAGAGAGCAGAATGGAGAAGAAGGGGTCGTGGCCATCCTCCAGCCCCACCCCCCAGAGGGTGCTCTCTCATTTTCTGTCTCTCTAGTAAGCACACATACCCTCTTTAACTGCGAAGTATTATACAACTCTGAACACTGTTTAAAACAGATGTACAACCAATGAATTACTTTAAGAGAAACATTTTGTAACCACTTTGTCAAAAGGTAGGACCTTTCTAGTTTTACCATTTATCATGTGTCCTGTAGAATTTCTCAGGTTAAAGATTTTTCCAATTGGATTATTCGGTACAGTTTAACCTGTTTCTTTGACCTATATTTTTCTTATAAGTTGGTACTGTTTTAAAAAAATTAATTTTAAAAAGCACAAACTTCTCTGTGTTAGAAATGTTAAGCAAAAACAGAATAGCATGATGAGATCCATTTTTACCAATTGCCAACTCATGATCAAGCTCCAATCTTTATCCACTTTTTCTCTTTGATAGAGTTTCTTTTTTCAGTGTCTGCCCCTTTACTAGATAGCTCTTTAAGGATAAGTACTTTGTCTTTGTATCCCTAGGTTCTAGTGCAGAGTCTGGGATATTGTTGGTGCTCAATAGATGCTTGTTGAATGAATCATAATTATTTCTTGTTCTGGGAAGACTCTATGTAACTATTTCTTGAGATTAAAAATGCCCTGAATTTCCAGGACAAAAAAAAAAAAAAGCAGAAGCAAAAGAGTTAAATAAATGGTATTTGGTCAGCTTCTCATTCCCAGTATGAGCTCTGGCTTAGGGTTTGGTTTCACATGCATGTTCCTGTCTTCCTACTTAGATACTCCTCTCGGTGTTCCAGATGCAGGAGGAGCCTCCTATGAAGGTGCCTCAGAAAGCAGCTTCGAGCAGCCAGAAGAAAGTGTGAGTGATGCTCTGTGTTGTTAGTTTCTAACACGGTGAAGATGGGTTAAGAGAATATTTATATTCCGTTGTTGAACTACATAGCACTTGACGTGGTGCCCTGTTATGGAAATGTCATGGACTCTGAAGTTGGTTCATTAAAAGAATCTGAGATTCTTGGAGAGTTGAATAAATATGCTCTTATTGACAAGTTTGGTGAGGGAGGGTGTCAAATCATAATAAACAAATGACTTGAGGTCTAGGGAATTGTCATCGCGGGAAGCCTATTGTCTTTCGTGGGCTCTGTAATATGATTTACTATAGGGATGTTTTTTCCTGTGCTCTTCTATCGCTTAGCCTGCTCTTTATGAAATAGCAAGAGTATAGATTTTATGTAGTTTGAAAATAAAAAAGTGCCATGCTTTTAACATGTACTATTATTAATAGACATCTGGCCAGTAAACAGCATTAAATCCTATAGCTGAGCCTGTATCACAGACATAGTATAGATTAACAAGAAAATTAAATACTGCCCAAGAATATACAGATATTTTGTTAGAAATTTGGAGGTACTTAGGACCAGCAAATGGCATGATGGTTATGTCGCTGGACTCCCACATGATCAACTGCAGTTCAAGACCCGGACGTGTGAAACTTACACTGGGTACATGTGCGTGTGTGCCCAAAATCCCAAGAAGAGAATGGAGGAGAAGGGATGATGGCATGGCCATCTCCCCTGGGGAGTGATTTCTCATTTTCTGTCTCTCTGTCTCTCTCTGATGAGTGTATGTGCTCTATAGCAAAAATCTCTCTCTTTAAAAATAAAGAAATTTGGAGGTTCTCAAATCCTAGGTTACTTATTGTAGAATCAACTCTTATTGAATATATTCCCTAGAAAGATGCAATTTAGTTACTTTCCACCTTCCCTTCCAAACTTGGACATTTTAATTTATGTGGAATCAGGTTAAGTCACCACTCTGCCATACCATCCTCCCTGTCACTAAACAAGGTTAATGGAAACTTGGGATCTGTATAGTGGATTCCAAATCAGTACTTTTTTTTTTTGTCTTTTCATTAAACTTTGTTTTAATGTGCCTCAAAATTCTGTGACTGATTTTTGGTCAAGTTATTTCCATTAAAAAGTACAGACTTTAGAAACTAATAACTTAAAACTGACACACAGACACACAAAATACAAACAAAATAGTCCACAAAACATTTTCCTTTCCTTCTGAAGGTTTTATGATGCATTATCATTAACCAGTCTTTTACTATTAAACCTAAATGGCCAGTTGAGTCAACCAGTTCTGAGACTATTCTTTCACCACTGATTAAGACTGGGGTGGCAGGAATTAGGGATACTCAGTTAGCCTTCTGAGCTTTCTGGGCAGACAGTGACTTTGCCACGTCCAGCAGCCTTCTTGTCCACAGCGTGGATGACACCCACAACTGTCTGTCTCATATCATGAACAACAGAACAACCCAGAGGAGGATAGTCAGAGAAGCTCTCAACACACATGGGCTTGCCAGGAACCATATCAACAATGGCAGCATCACCAGATTTCAGACATTTAGGGCCATATTCCAGCTTTTTACCAGAATGGCCATCAATCTTTTCCTTCAGCTCAGCAAACTTGGAAGCAATCTGAGCTGTGGGACAATCCAGTACAGGGGCATATCCAGCACTGATTTGGCCTGGGTGGTTCAGGATAATCACCTGAGCAGTGAAGACAGCTGCTTCCAGTGGTGGGTCATTTTTGCTGTCACCAACAACATTGCCACATCAAACATCTTTTTTTTTTTTTTTTGAGAGGTTTTTGCTATAGGGCACGTGTGCTCACCAGACAGACAGACATAGAGACAGAAAGTGAGAAATCACCCCCCAGGAGGGATGGTCATGCCGCAATCCCTTCTCCTCCATTTTCCTCTTGGAATCTTGGGCACGCACGCACACGCGCCCAGTGTGAATTTTAAGCCACCAGGTCTGGGACATGAACCGCAGTCGACTTCGTGGGAGTCCAGCGACATAGCCATTACGCTAACTGCTGGTTCCCCCACATTAAACATCTTTGACAGACATGTTCTTGACATAAAAACTCACGTTGTCCTCAGGAAGAGCTTCACTCAGCTTCATGGTGCATTTCAACCGACTTGACTTCAGTTGTCACATTGACTGGTACAAAGGTGACCACCATACCAGGTGTGAGCATACCAGTCTCCACTTGGCCAACAGGGACAGTGCCAACACCACCGATTTTGTACACATCCTGGAGGGGCAGACACAAGGGCTTGTCAGTTGGACAAGTTGGTGGCAGGATGCAATCCAGAGCTTCAAGCAGTGTAGTTCCACTGGCATTGGCGTCTTTACAGGTGACTTTCCATCCCTTGAACCATGGCATATTAGCACTTGGCTCCAACATGTTGTCACCATTCCAACCAGAAATTGGCACAAATGCTACTGTGTTGGGATTGTAACCAAACTTCTTTAACAATTTCCTTGTATCTCTTCTGCTTAGGGTGGCTCAGTAGAATCCATTCTGTTAACACCAGCAATTAGTTGTTTCACACCCAGTGTGTAAGCCAGAAGGGCATGCTCACGGGTCTGCCCGTTCTTGGAGATAGTAGCTTCAAATTCACCAACACTGGGACCGGCAGTTAGCGTAATGACTATGTTGCTGAACTCCCATGTAGTTGACTGCAGTTCAAGTCCCGGACCTGGTGGCTTAAACTCATGCTGGGCACGTGTGCGTGTGTGCTCAAGATCCCAAGAGGAGAATGGAGGAGAAGGGATGATTTCTCGCTTTCTGTCTCTCTGTCTCTCTCTGTCTTTCTGGCGAGCGCACGTGCCCTATAGCAAAAACCTCCCCCCCCCCAAAAAAAAATTCACCAACACCAACAGCAACAATCAGGATGGTGCAGTCAGCCCAAGATGTGCCTTCATGTTTTTGATAAAGTCTCTGTGTCCTGGGGCATCAATGATAGCCACATAATACTTGCTGGTCTCAAATCTCCACAGGGAGATATCAATGGTGATACCACGCTCACATTCAGCTTTCAGTTCATCCAAGACCCAGGCATACTTGAAGGAGCCCTTTCCCATCTTAGCAGCCTCCTTCTCTATATTTTCGATGGTTCTTTTGTTGATCCCACCAATTTGTAGATCAGATGACCAGTAGTGGTGGACTTGCCAGAATCTATGTGCCCAATGACAATGATGTTGATGTCTTCTCCTTTCCCATTTTGGCTTTGATTTAGTGGTGGTTTTCACGACACCTGTGTTCTGGTGGCAAACCCGCTGTGAAAAAGCCCGAATCAGTACTTTTACCCTAAGTACAATCATGCCCAAAGACATGGTTCTGGAAAATATTGGCATTCAGTAAATATTTACAAATGAATGAAAAGGAAGTAATACTGTTGTTTGGAAATTGAGGCAAAATAGCTACGATTTAGTTCTGGAAATATTTATAGACTGAGATAGCATTCATTGTAGTAGAAATGAAGGAGTGTAGTCATTTGGGACATTAATATCCAAAACAAAGCTGATGCTTGGGGCCAATTTATGGAACTCATGGGAGAGGCCAGCAGGTGGCATGGTAGTTACAGGCACTGGACTCTCACGTGGCCACTGTGATTCAAGTCTTGGACCTGGCAGCTTGCTTTCTCTCTTCCCCTCTCTCTGTCTCTCTCTGGTCAAATTAAAATAAGTAAATAAATGAAATGAAATAAACGATTCTTAAAAAAGAAAAGAACTAATGGGAAAACAAAACTGTGTAGAATACCTGGCAAGAATTAGATTATCTGTACCTTTAGTTCAAAATAAGGCCCAAGGTACAATTTTTAAAATAATTAATTTTTCTTCTAACACATTTTTCTATCTACTACTTAAGAAATTATACACTCTATTTATGTTTTGCTAGTAGTTACCCTATAAATTAGAATGTGTATTTACCTAAAAATTTAAGTTTTTAAAATCTTTACTTATCCTGGGCAACACAGAAAAATTAGAATGTTGTAATTTATGATCACCCTGCCAACTCATGTTATTTGTTAATTTTTGTTCCTTTTCTCCCATTCTCTGTCTCTCTTTTAATCCTACAAATTAAACTGCATTTTTGATTTGTACAAATCAAAGTTTGTTTTTACATTTATCTAGGTGTTTACTACTTTATTTTCATCATATTCTTTCTTTTTTTGTACTTTAGACTTTTCTTCTCAGGAAATTAACCTTCTGTAATATATACTTTTGATACTACTTTAGTAATATCAAACCAATGATATCAAACCAGCCTCTCTCACTGGTTCAGTCTCATTTTTTGATCTGAGATTCTGAAGTTACATAAAAATGGATATAGTGTGTATTTTTGTTACTTTGCTTTGGATTTGTTGTAATTCTTATGCTTTATGCCAAACATAAATTCTGAAAAATTCTCAGCTGTTATCTTTTATGATTAGACATAATTTGATTACAGAAAAAATTTATGACTAAAAAAATCTCTGTGAAGAATGTCACTAAAGACCAGCAGTTGGCATAATGGCTGTGTTGCTGGACTCCCATGTTGTTGACTGCAGTTTGAGTTCTGGACCCGGTGGCTTAAACTCATGCCGGGCGCATGTGAGTGCATGCCCAGGATCCCGAGAGGAGAATGGAGGAGAAGGGATTATAGCGTGGCCATCCCCCCCTGGGGGGTGATTTCTGACTTTCTGTCTCTCTGTGTCTCTCTTTCTGGCAAGTGCACAAGTGCACGTGCCCTATAGCAAAAACCTCTCCAAAAAAAAAAAAAAAAAAGAATGCCATTGGTAATTTGATAGGAATCTCATTGAATTTGTAAATTAATATGATTTTATTTATCTGGGTACTTTCTCTATTTTACTTAGTCAGTGTAGCTAATGGTTTGTTCATTTTGTTTATCCTCTCAAAAAACCATCTTTTTATTATTAAATATTGTCCTTTTATTCTCTGTTTCATTTATTGCTGCTCTAATCTTTATTATTTCTTTTCTTCTAGTAATTTTGGGTTTCCTTGTTCTTGCTTTTCCAGCTCCTTGAGATGCATTATTAGGTTATTTATTTGCCACCTTTCTGGTTTTGTTTTGGCTTTCTTGTGAGGACTGGTTGCTGTAAACTTTCCTCCTAGGACTGCATTCAGTGTGTCTCAGAGATTATGGAGAGTTGCGTTTGAATTATTATTTGTTTCAAGAAAATTTTAAATTTAGGTTTTAATTTCTTCATTACTTTTTAAGTCACTTAGGAGTAAATTGTTTAGTTTCCATGTATGTTTTATATTTTTAAAAAATAATTATTTTATTGGGACCAGCAGTTAGCATAATGGCTATGTTGATGGACTCCCATGTAGTTGACCGCAGTTCGCATCCCGGACCCGGTGGCTTAAAACTCATGCTGGGTGCATGTGTGTGCATGCCCAAGATCCCAAGAGGAAAACGAAGGAGAAGGAACTGCAGTGTGGCCATCCTCACTGGGGGTGGGGTGGGGTGGGAGTGCTTTCTCGCTTTCTGTCTCTCTGGCTCTCTCTGTCTGGCTGGTGAGCGCACACGCCCTATGGCAAAAACCTCTCCAAAAAAAAAATTCTAGGAGGAAAAAAATTTGTTTAAGAAAGGTACACTGAGTAAGTGACAATTTGTCCATAAATTGTGATAAAATGCTGTTAAATTGAAACTTTTATTTACTGTTTTAAAGAATTACTAAGAGAGAGAGTGAGAAACAAAACCACCAGGTCTGAAACTCGAAGTGTGATCAGCCGTGTGGGAGTCCAGCACCCTTAATCACCATGCCACCTGCTGGCCCCTATTTTTTGTATTTTTGAAGGCTTTTTCTGTTGTTGATTTTAATTCCATTGTGTCAGGTCCATTTGCTTTATGGTGTCATTTAGCTCCAGTGTTCCTTTGTTTATTTTTTGTTTAGATGACCTATCTAGTAGTGAGCATAGAGAGTTAAGATCCCCAGCAATTAGTGTATTACAGTCTATCTCTCTCTTTAGGCCTACCAGTTTTCATTTTATGTATTTGGGTGCTCTGATCTTAGGTGTGTAAGTATTTATAATTGTTATATCTTCTTAATGAATTAATCTCTTTAATGCTATATAAGGTTCTTTGTCTCTTTTTGCAGTTTGTAGCTTGATGTCTATTTTGTCTGATATTAGTAAGATGACTCCAGCTTTTTGCTGGGCTTGGGGTGGGGTTGGGATGGGAGCTCCAAAGTCTTCTCCGAAGTGGAATATTGGTGGATTTCCTTATGATACTGTTAGTTCCATACCCTTTTTGCTGTTCTTCTGAAGATGATGAGCGTATGACATTTAGAATTCCAGAGGAAAGGTCCTTTCATCTCCTCCCACCCTATGGTAGGGGAGGGCTCAGGAACCTCACTGATTTCAGGCGATTATTTCTTTACCTTTCTAGGAAGAGATTCTGTGCTTCCGAAGCTCCTGTGGTCTTTTGCTTGAGCTAAGTCCGTATTAACCTCACTCTTCTGCCAGAAGTACAAGCATGTATTAAACATTTTTAGCCTTTCTTCCCAAATATCTGCCACAGTGAGTGTTTCCGGTCAGCCATCTTGCTGCATACCTTCACTACTCTAACAATCTGCATTTCATTGTTTCTCTGTGCTGCATTCAGTTGTCTTTCAGTTCACTAATTCTTTATTTTAATCTAATTTGTCATTCAAGCCGTCCATTGAATATTTAGAATCCTTGCTTTATGTGAGAGTCAGTCTTTGATCTGACTTTTTAAGATGTAAAAGCCTTTCATCTAGTATCCTATCCCTTTCTGATATTAAAAAAACAGTCTAGAAAATCAGCAGGTGTTCCATGGAAGCTCCCACCTTCAACATTGAATCACTTCTCTAAATTCCTATAATCTATCTTTTTTTGGAGAGGTTTTTGCTATAGGGTGCGTGCGCTCGCCAGACAGAGAGAGAGAGAGAGACAGAGAGACAGAAAGCAAAAAATCACCCCCCAGGGGGGATGGCTATGCCACAATCCTGTCTCCTCCATTCTCCTCTCGGGATCTTGGGCATGCATGCACACGCGCCCGGCATGAGTTTAAGCCACTGGGTCCAGGACTCAAACTGCGGTCGACTACGTGGGAGTCCAGCGACATAGCCATTGCGCTAACTGCTGGTCCCCTATAATCTATCTTGATTGACACTTTTTACTTTTTATAAAAAATACTTTCTTTGAAACCAGTTATACATTAAAATAATTTTTAAAATTTATTCAGCACTTTTGGTATTCTGTGCCAGTAAATTTACTCAAGATATTTCTTTTGTAATGATACTAAAGTTGTAAGTATCTGTCAAATTTAATGAGATGAAACTTAATATGGAAAAATAAAAGTCTTGTGCAAAATTCCATAGCACTAAGAGTCTTTTTTTTTTTGGACAGGTTTTTGCTCTAGGGTGTGTGCACTCGCCCAAAAGATAGAGAAAGACAGAGAGACAGAAAGCAAGAAATCCACCCACCCCCAGGGGGGATGGCCATGCTGCAATCCCTTCCCCTCCATTCTCCTCTTGGGATCTTGGACATGCATGCACATGCGCCTGGCATGAGTGTAAGCCACCGGGTCCAGGACTCAAACCGTGGTCAACTACAAGGGAGTCCAGCGACATAGCAGTGGGGACTGGTGGTCCCCACTAAGAGTCTTTGTTGACTTTAGTCTAAGTATAAATCAACAGTATGAGGCAGTTACTGGACAAAAAGAAAAAGAAAACTATTTAAAGCTAATGTAATTTTATCTTGCATTAATAGAAATAAAGAATCTACTATAAGGGAGGTGGTAGATCTCTCTTATTTTGTTAGATCTTACTTATGGGTGCCATACTCTAAGGAAGACTTTATGTGTCTGGAGTAAAATACCTGGCCAAAAGTCACGGAAGACATGATAATTACCTATACATATTTGAAGAGCTCTCTGGAGCTATAATTTTTAATATGTATCTCAGGACCAGATGTGTCCAGGTTACTTCAGTGGACTGCTCCACAGTTGACTGTGGTTTGAGTCCCGAACCTGGTGGCTTGAAAATCATACTGGGCATGTGTAAATGCATGTCCAAGATCTTGGGAAAAAAATGGAGGAGAAGGGATTGTGTGTGGCTATCCACCCTGGGGATTACTCACTTGCCTTCTCACTGTGCCTATCTCTCTCTTTCTTGCAAGTGCATGTGCCCTAAGGCAAAAGCCTCTCAAAAAATATGCATCTCAAGTTATAGAACTTTTATCAGTGATAGAGCTTACAAGGAGAGAATTTGTGTTTATTTATTTAAAATGCCAGAGGGTGCATGCACTTGTGTGAGAGAGAGAAGGAGAGAGAAGAAAAAAGTTTGCTCTCAAGGGGTGTGGCCATGCCACAGTCCCTTCTCCTCTGTTTCTCCATCCAGTTGAGATTTTGGGCATGCATACACATGTGCCTCGTGTGTTTTTCAAGGTGCTTGTGCTGGGGCTGAGATTTGAACTGTGATGTTGGCCATGTGGGCTTAGCTCCCTTAAGTACTAGGCCACGAACTGGCCCATGGATATTTATTGTTTCCTTTGTGTTTTACTTCAATACTTACTTTGTAGCTTAAAATCATTTGAACTTTGGCCACTGGAAAGCCTGGATTTTAATATTCGAGTACAACAACTTTTTCAAGTATTATTTTAGATCCCACATGGCCCTAACCTTCCAGAAATTACCACTGTTGATTTTGGTGTAGTATCAAAAAAGAATATCCATAATTATCTGAAAAAGCTATTAATGTATTCCTTTCTTCCCTTATATATCTGTGACCAGATATTTTTCATAGACAGCAATTAAAATAGCATTTACAATGAACTGAATGCATAAGCAGATACAAAAGTCCAGTTGTCTTCTATTAAGCTAGGCATTAGAGAATTTGCAGAAATATAAATGATACCACTCTTCCCACTTATTTATTTTATTTTACACTAAATGTTTATTTTTATATATGAGGTTTATTATTGTTATTTTAATTTATTTTTATTTTGTTTTACTTTTATAATATTTTAAAGTAAAATTACAATAGTCACCAATCAGGTATATAGGCCTCAAAATAAAAAGAGCTCCTACTAGCTAAGAGAAAATAAATGAGCTACTCAGGTGAGAGAAAAACTATATTTCTGGGTAGGAATAGCTCATCTTGGCTGATATAAACTATATTATTTTTATTTTTAAATGAATTAATAAATTCTTCTTAAATTTCTCTTTTAACTTTTTATTTGGTAAATGTTTGTGCATCTGACCAATGAAAACCAACTTTCTTTGGGTTCCTGAATGATTGTTTATTTTAAAGGGAGTCTAGATCAAAAAGTTCGAAAACCACTCCTCAAGGTTATTTTTATATGATAACTATAGTACAGTCACATCTTTTAAAATTTACTTTGATGATTTCCTGTGGAAAATTTTTCTGCCTTCCTCTTAACTGGTCAGTGTATATTTGAAAGTATGTACAAATGCATAGTAATTTTAATATGAACTTTTGCCTTAAAGTCTAAATGATTTGTCCCAAGTCACATGTTGTATAAAAGGTTATATTGGGCTCACTTGTGGCTGGAGATTAGGCTGATTGGATTCCAGGTGGTCAACTATGCCATTTGTGTCCCAGACTCAGCAGCTTGAAAAACATGCTGGGTGTATGTGTTTTGCATGCCTAAAATCCTGCAAGGAGGGAGAGATGCAGGAGAAGAAATTGCAACATGACCATTTCCCAAGGTGTGTGGGGTGAGTGAATTCTCGTTCCCTCCCTCTCCCAGGCTCTGTTTCTCTCCAGAGAACTCCTATGCCCTCTGGCAAAATTAGGATAAAGAAAAAAGATAATTATCAGAAGTTTCTTCAGGCAGAGTGTCTGGCACATTGTAGGTGATCAATAAATATTTGCAATTTGTATGAATAAACAATTGTATGAATAAATAATTGACATTTATTTTTCCTTCTGTAAAACACCAGATTAGCAATGAAATTGAGACTGCCATAGAAGAATCCACAAAACCAGCAACTGAACAGATTGCAGAATTCAGTATCCACCTTCTGGGAAAGAAATACAGAGAAGAACTACAGGATCCCTCCAGCTCTTACCACCAGCATCTTGTAGAAGAATTTATTTCAGAAGTAGGTGATTGTTTTGTAGCTTTGTTTTTTTCTTTTCTTTCCTTCCTTCTTTTTTTCTTTCTTCTTCTTTTTTTTCTCCTTCTTCCTTTTCCATTTCCTGTTCTTCTTCCTTTCTCTCCTCTTCCTGCCCCTTGTTCTTCTTTTTGGTAAACAAGACCTTTCACTGGAGATGTAAGTTTCCTACATTCATAACACCACTTATTTATTTACTTATTTCAAACAGTTGTACACAAATGTTCACAGCAGTATTATTTGTAATAACTAAAAGATGAAGGAGAAAAATATCTCTCAGCAGATAACTGGAAAAACAAAATGTGATATATCCACACTACAGATATTAATCTGTCATAAAAGGGAATGAAGTACTGACACATGCCACAACATGGATGAGCCTTGAAACATTAGGCTGAGTGGAGACAGTTATGTTTTGTATGATTTCATTTACATAATACATACAGAATAGGTAAATGCATAGAAACAGAAAGCAGATCAATGATTGCAGGGACTGAGAGTAGGAGTGAACAGGAGTGATAGCTTAATGAGTATAGGGTTTCCATTTGGGGTAGTGAAAATGTTTCAGCTCTAAAAAGAGCTGATGGTTGCATGGCACTGTGAATGCACTCTATGCCAATAAAATATACTCACTAAGATGGCAAACAAAAAGAAAGGACCTCTATAATTTTGTGAGGACAATGCTTTTTCTAAACAAATCACCACCAGCAGAAACTCTGAAGGAAGCAAATGAGAGTTTGGGTAAGTAACTAATATGCACTTAAATATATCAGAAAAGATGAATGTATTTTTAAAAGTTTATTTCTTTACTTTATTTATTATTATTATTTTTTTACATTCAATCACTGTGTATCACTACAGCATACCAAATGCATTTTTTCCATCCTGAATACCCTTGTAGTTGACCACAGTTTGAGTCCTGGACCTGGTAGCTTGAAACTCACACTGGGCACGTGTGTGTGGATGCTCATGACTCCAGGAGGAGAAAGGAGGAGAAGGGATTGCAGCATGACCATCCCCCAGGGTGATTTCTCACTTTCTGTCTCTCTGGCGAGTACATGAACTGTAGAGCAAAAAATTTTCTCTCTCTCTCTCTCTCAAAAAAAATTAAACAAAAAAAAATACTTGCAACATAAAACAGTATTACTATTTTTAATATATACATATAGTATATAAAATAACAAAAAAAAGAAATTAAAAGGAAATTCGTAATATAGATGCATGACTTTTTATTGTTAAAAGAATAAGAATGGTATTAAGTTTTTCATTAATAACATGTGGATGAAGATGTAGCAGTATCTTCAAGGAGCTGAGAGGGCCAACCCATAGTGAGGTGTACCTACCACGAAGTTGTAGTCCCAGATCTGCATCTTAAGAAACATACCAGGTGTGTGTCCATGTGTGTCCAAAATCCTAACAGGAGGGAAGAATGGAAGGGATTGTGGTAAGATCATTCTCCATGGAGGATGCTTCCTTACTTTAGCTTGTTTTCTTTCTCTTTCTCTCTCTTTCTCTGATAAGCACATACACTCTCTGGCAAAAAAATTTTAAAAATGGAGCTGAGGAATTTTATTTTTATATACACCCTCATGTTCAGTCAAACTCTCATTTAAATCTGAGGACTATTGGGACCATCAGATGGCGTAATGGTTACATCACTCTACTCCCACGTAGTCGACCCTAGTTCGAGTCCTGGACTCAGCAGCTTAAAACTCACACTGGGCATGTGTGTGTGTGTGTGTGTGTGTGTGTGTGTTGGGGGGACGGTGTCCAAAATCCTGAGTGGAGAATGGAGGAGAAGGGATTGTGTCATGGCCATCCCCCTGGGAGTAATTTCTCACTTTTTGTCTCTGTCTCTTTGGCGAGTACACATGCTTATAGCAAAAATCTCTCTGAAAAATGAATAAAATAAAATTAATCTGAGGTCTATTAAAGAAATATTTAAATAGAAAGAACTCAGATTACCCACAGGTATTCTATGCTGTTTAGAATGAACACACTTAAAACAAAACCTTACTATTAGATTTAACATAAAATTATTCCACTCTTTTGGCTAAATCACCTCTACAACCTTCAACTACTCCTTGTTTATAAGAGGCAATAGTATGCAAATTTATAGTCTGCTTGCTACTTATAAGACTTTTTATTTCTCCATTGTGCAAAACATTAAGTCAGCTTTGGATATTTCTCAAAACTAGATCCTGATTTGGGAGCAGCTGTTGGCGTAATGGCTACATCGCTGAACTCCCATGTAGTTGACTGCAGTTTGAGTCCTGGACCTGGTGTCTTTTTAAAAATTAAAAAAAAATTTTTTTATTTTAGAGGTTGTTCACTATAGGGCGTGTGCGCTCGCCAGACAGACAGAGAGAGACAGAGAGATAGAAAGCGAGAAATCACCCCCCAGAGGGGATGGCCATGCTGCAATCCCTTCCCCATTCTCCTCTCGGGATCTTGGGCATGCACGCACACGTGCCTGCCATGGGTTTTAAGCCACTGGGTCCGGGACGCGAACCACGGTCGACTACGTGGGAGTCCAGTGACATAGCCCT